AGGTATCTACATATATGTTACACAATATAATTTTTATATAGTATATATATATGTGTGTATATATATTTCTACAGCTCATGTGGTGAAAAAGATCCTTCATAAATTCAAAAATTAGTTTAAAAGTAGTTAAATTTACTTTTTCATACTGGACAATTACGCACTTTTATCTTTAAAATGATAATACACCTAGGAAATATTTTTGCAGGATGTGCACTGATGCTTAAGAATATTAAATTTATTTTTAATACCCTATTACAAAACAGTTGGCAACTGAGTTTCCATATTAGCACAAAACTTGATTATGCTCGAGTATAAGAGAGCAAATCTGTCTCTTCAGCACAAAATTGGTGTATTGGTACATTATGGTCTACCTCCTTCAACCTAATCATTAGTTTCTTGGCCTGTCCTGTTCTGCATTTGAGGACAAATGACCTTCCCCAAGGTGGTTTACAAGTAGAAGTCCCTAAAACGTTAGTATACAAAATGCCACATTCATTTTCAGTTTCATTTTAAATGCTATGAACTTTTTGTTTTGTTTTGTCTCGTTTTCACAAAGCTCCCTTCCCCACTACTATTCAGTAAATGGTATTTTTTTCTGAAGTTATATAATTAGTCCTAAATTTTGGGCAAAACCTTCTCAATGGTGATTTCATACTAACTGGATTCATGGGCTTTTTTTCAGCTGCTTAAGTATAATCAACCCTGAAGGACATCTTAGAGTAAAAGAAACATTTAAAGGAATACAGTTGACATTGAGTGATATAATTTCACAGTTTCATCCTACAATTGACTACATTTCAAAATGCCTAAAGTTTTAATTCAAGACATAAATGCAGAAGGAAAACATTTTTCCTCTGAAAGGCATTTGCGGTGTCCTGAAGGTTTCTTTGCTGAAGGACTGTCAGCATTCTACAATGACTGTTGATATTCTTCATTAGCTATAACGTAGTTAAAATGCAGCATGTGCAATAAATCAAAGTATCGGAAGATTGCATTAAAACTTGTGACAGTTACAGAGTTTGGTGGGCGTTGGTTGCTTTTCCTCCCCAGTATTCTGGGGTCATCACTCATAATAGTGAAAAGTATAGCATAAAGGGGAAAAAAATCAGAATGTTCCTAAAAATAAAATAGAAAGCCCTCAGGAGTCCTTTCAGAGCAACAATAAAAAGTATTGCTAGCTGTAAAATTTGTAAGCAGGTTCCATCCTGTCGGCACAGAAACAATGAAGATGAATTACACTCTCCGAGAAAACACGGAGACTGTCTGGGAACTCGGTGGCAAACGTAGTGGAGTGAGGACAAAGCACAACTATTTCTTCTGTCTGAAGTTGAAGGTATCAGGACAGGAAGGTGTGAATTAAATGGAAATAGAAGACCATCCTTAGAAATTATCTACTTAACCACTCAATTCACTCATTTGGCCATTGTTTGGACTACTCAGTTTTCAGAATTTCTGAATTACCTATAAGCTTATAAAGACCAGTATATAATTCCAGGTATTAAAGGTATAAATATGTAAACTTTTAATAGATAATAGACAGATATGGGTTAGGGTGATGGCAGTTACTTACATCTCTTTTAAATGCTTTTGGTGTGACGGAGAAAAAGTCTGAGCACTGTTTGGCTAGCTGTAAGCAAAGGTACCCTTGTCTCGGGTGAAAGGACATTTCATCTACTTGGGAGGTGCTGGTGGGCAGTGGGAAACATTGGGAAGGACCCCCAGGCCTCGCAGAGCCCACCTACTACATACAGACTCATCAGTCCTGGAACTAAGAGTCTTGTTTTGCATATGTCCTTGTTTGATGCCCTAACTATTCATGTGATAGCTGAAAAAAACACACTGCTAAAAGGAGAAATATGTGGACAGAAGTTGTTTTGAAAAGACTGATGCCCACCTTGATGGCAGCTTGTAAGTTTAAGAACAAACTTTCCATATCCTAAACCAAGGTCAGCATATGCAAAATGAAACTCACACCACAGCAGAAATGGGGAGAGTGTTTATTAAACCTTAACTGTTAGTCTCAAAGGATGTTTTGGTGTGCAATATGCCTACACTCTACTAAAACAGCTTGACTTTTAATTTAAATTTAAAACTCAGAGGCTTTCTTTTTTATGTTTATGAAAGTTAATTAAAAGAGACATCAGATAATTTGAGCAACTATTTAGAGTCTTTATTTGACAATATTTGAAAGATGCTTTCCTTTTATGCTGGTTTCAGATTTTGTACCTATAAGGAAAGAATGTGGCTTGAGTCAATTATACATTAAAAATTGAAAGTATTATTAGGTTCTCTGAAAATCAGAGAAAATTGCCATAAATCATGTTCCACAGTCTCAGTGATTGATTGCATTAAAGCAATAGTGGAATTCAAGGTGAATTGAAATAAATGTTAAATGAAGGTTCTTTTTAACCTCATCAATACCTTTCTAATACATCATTTTTGTGTGTGTTGGAAGGACAACTAATAGTAACCAATCTCAAGCAATTATGCTAGACGAGATATGGTATTTGACTGAGTACCTAATAATCTCTTAAACCCTTGCTTTCACCAGCTGAGCTAATTTTTGATGGGACACCACTGAGAACAATAGGTCACAGAGAGCAAATGAAGTGGGGCTGCCACTGTGTCTCCTCAAGTGCTCTCATCTAGCCCAGCCTTGGATGGCTGATGAGGTAATCTGCATAATAACATGGCCCTGGTGGGTTTCTATTAAGTCAATGGGGCATTAACTATACACAGAACTATCAGTGGTATCTATTAAGTGGACTAGATCTACAGACCACAATGACTTTACTCATGCAACAGGAAGAGTTGTGCACAAATCTCATAATTACACCCTTTACTCCAACACCCAGGGTTGGCAGTGACACAAGTATCATTCCAAGTATAATCCTAATTAAATCAGTTAAAATAAACTGTTCCAGTTATTTGTGTATGTACACTATGTGGACTAAATATGTATAAAGAATTAATTCAAGTTAATGAATTTTAAGGCAACTCTATCTAAAATAGAATAGTATTAATAACTATTAATAGGAGTTAAAAATAGGTTAAAATGTGATTTAATTAGGCTACAATCTACAAACAAGTCAAAGTTTAAAAATGTGCAGTGACAACTGATGCCTCCACTAGTGTGTGAACAGCTATCCGAAATTCATGCCTCAGCTCCCTAATGTGATATTATTTCTTGGCTTATGTTAAAATTAAAAATGTTAAACTTGGAATAAATACATTTTTTAATTTTACAATGTCAGATTTTTAAATTGATATGGTTTTCATTAAATAAGCAGACTTATTTTAAATCCTTGGTCAGGATTTCAAGTTTATCTTTTTTCTCTGACATGTTTTGGAAATTTTAATTGATTTCTATTAGAATTGCTGTAGAGCACTAAATGTCATAGGATACATTTTAAATATGATATTCATTTTTATGTTACCCATCAATAACATTTTCAAATGGATAAAGTACCTGTGTGTTTTAACAATAATTTAAATATTTTATGAGAAGTTTGAACTCAGTCTATCAAATTAAAGCAAGCTATTTCTCAATAACATGTAAATGTAATGGGAATCTATCTTTTAGTCAAAATTGTTGTTTCATATAGTGTTCTGGTGTGAGAGCTACATTTCAATAATTACCTAGGTTAAGTATTAGTCAAATTTGGGGCACTCCCATCAGCGAGTTATTTCTAAAATCATTATCATAGGATAATCCCAACACTGTATGAACGCAAGCAGCTGGGATTTTGGGGATGAAAGTCGGTGATGAGAATATATGACAGTGAAAGCCGTTATCTCCTGTAAGAAGCCTGTATCCATGGATGTGTCCATCTGGAATTTTCACATATGAAATAAAATGATTACCATCTTGAAAGTTTCCAAAGCTGAGGGATGCATGTTTCCCTTACTCTTTCTCTTTTGTGCTTCTTTCTGTTGCATTCTCTCTGTTGTGTGCCTCCTTTCTCTCCTCCCACCCTGCCCCTCCCTGCCTTCTATTCCTCTGTGTGGGTTTGGTCATGGGTGTGACTATGAGAGGTGTTTGTGCGTGTGTGTGTGTTTGATCTGGAAACTGGTCAAGACTTACCAATTGAGGCACAAAGTGTAATAAAAGGATAACCATACCACATATAATTAAAGCTCTTGTGCTAAGAGCAATATATTATACAAGTCACATATTTTATCTAGCTTGTATCTCTCTTCATTTACAAAGAGTGATGATTAGGTAAAGATCCTTACTTTTTGTGATTCTCTGTATGGATGAAAATTCAAATGCATTTTATCTTTATTTATTAGCATTTTATCAGATATTTTGCTTTTTTCTACACTGGCAAAATTAAAAACATATATATGTATATATAGTTTCATGTTTTTTAAAGTCCTTTGGAAGGATTTAATCAAGAGTAAGATTATCCACTACAATATCCAGCCTAAACATTAACCAGAAATCAGTTGAGAACTATACACATCAGATGCAATGAAAAGGAAAAAAAAAACCATGAAATTAGAATAAAGAAAATGATAAAATAGAAATCTGGCATTAAAATAATAATTTGGGGGGATTACTCCTTAAAATTTAAGAGAAAATGATGAAGATTTTCCAAGTCTTCCTTGCTTATTTTATAGATTTAAGACAGACTCTACACTGAATCCTATAACCAAAATACATAAATCCCAGATGGCAGAGTTCAATTTTCACTGAATTTTATGTGAGGAAAATGTACTTAAATATGAGTGCCTATACTTGTATATGTGAACATATTCTATTCCTGCATAATCATTCTTACGCCCCATCAGTGTGTATTGAAATACATATCTCAATGAACACACATTGAGGCTCGGCATAATGCTGTTGGGCCTACTACTTTTACAGTTTCGGAAGAAACAAAGTTTATTTTCTTATTTCTTTTTTAACTTTTGTATTTATTTTATTTAAACACATGTTCATACAGTGGGGCACTTTTGATAAACTATCACTGATTTTATTGTCTACATCTATGCAGATGCCTTGAGCCCAGGAGCTGCAGAGGGAGTGGCCCCAGATCTGCCATTATGGTTGATGATTTGATCAGTCTAAATCTTCAGCAAGTCCTCCATCTCTGGAACTTTAATACTGATGGTAATTGGAAAACATTAAAGATGTTTATACTGAAAAGAAAATGACTTTATTCCAACCACTGTCTGAAGCATGATCTTACCCAGCAGTACAATTATTATTTTTTAAAGTTCTCTTTGCAGAACTAACATACTTAGGATATATGGGGAAATGATTAGGGATATCTCTCTTCTACCCACTGCATTAAATTCCCTAATTTTTCTGACAGCTAGAAATATAATACTGGTGTACATAGAAAATGGAATGAAATAGAGTGAAACCCCACTGAAGATTAAGGTAAAATATAGATATATGTATATAAAAATCTGTATATAAGAAAGATAATTTTGAAGAGAGGAAATAGATCCTTCTACATCCTTCAAATATGAGTCAAACATTGATTTTCTTAACATTCTGCAAAGTAAATGTAAAGAGTATGCTGCAAACAGGAGAGAATATGATGGTACAACTGCCACGTGAATCAAGGACACAAGTCTAGCAGATGCTCTGATGTTAACAGTTCCAAACCAGGTGAAGGCTCACATGGCATTTCTTACAAGCTCTCCTATCCCTTTAGTTCTTTTGCTCTACATTTCACAAAGGATGGGAGCATGCTTACTTATGGTTTTTATCATGACTTCCCCCTTTGAAGAACTGGCCCTTTGTTATAAAAAGGAATAATGCAAATGAACTCAATTTCTTTCATTTTCTACTGCACATAGTTGGATTAAAAATGTACCTCTCTCCTACGCTTGTTCAGTCAATTCCTTCACTCTATTTTCTGGCTCATCACATTGCAGAGTGAAGCCCCTACAGCAGGCAGGAAGCAAAATGACAAGGTTCCTTCTTGGAGAAATGTCTGACAAGATTCCTTCTTGGAGAAATGTCATCTAATGGCTCTTGTAGTCCAAGTGATGTGCCACCTCTGGAGAACAGAGTCCTCTGACAGTTATTTCTGAGTCATCCTGGTGTATTTGAAACAGTTGGTTCTCTCGCTTAGACACTTATAAACATGTGCAGATAATGTTTTAACTGGCACATTGTCACCAGCTGCATTAAATCAGGCAAAGCTGAGTAGCTGTGAAAACTGTGACATCCAATTCAAGTAAGAATTAGAGTACAGTACTAGAAGCAGAAATAGACCCCTTCATAGTAGGTGTTATTTTTATTCTTTTAAATATGTTGCTATTGTGTTCATTGACAAACAGTTATGTTTATGTTTTTATTTCCTTTATCTTTCTTGCACCCTGGTAGATGATTGAGAGAAATCAGCTTTCCTAAATTACAAAAATAGATAAAAAGTGATCATTGTTATTGTTTTAAATATGTGGATGGTAGGTACAAATCATATAGATTCAATGTACACTAGCATATGATTTTTTTCTTTGCAGGGACAAATTTATTTATCTTTGAATTAACAGTATCTAATACATCTTGTGATATATAACAAGGGGCCCAATAAGGGCTTATTGAATAACACATGACTTAAATAATTACTATAAAATAAATTAATACAATTACTATATGGAATTCACATAATCGTATAGGAGACATAGGAGGTTGGCATAAAATTACTTTTGTAATTTTTAAGAGTATCGCTTTGTAGCCCTGGTTGGCGTAGCTCAGTGGATTGAGCACAGGCTGCGAACCAAAGTGTCGCAGGTTCGATTCCCAGTCAGGATACATGCCTGGGTTGCAGGCCATGACCCCCAGCAACCGCATATTGATGTTTCTTTCTCTCTCTATCTCCCTCCCTTCCCACTCTAAAAATAAATAAATAAAATCTTTTTTAAGTATTGTTTTGTGATTTAATATAAAAGTTTCAAAATTTTAAATGTACATGTAGTGAAAATTTTTATCAAGACATATTAACATGAGGAGACACCAAGTCAAAATAAGAGGATAAAACAATGTTGAAGAAAATCTCTAATTTTTTCTTCGGGCTTCAGACTAAATCTGGATGATTTACAAAGTTCCTTCCATATCCATAAGTTCATGTTAAAACAAAAAAAATACTTTTCTTGTATTTATGTATCACCTAATGCCAACAGATTATTTCCATGAAATAATCCTATACCTAAATTTATTGACTTCTTTCAACAATTTTGTTTTTTTTCTCTTCCATTTCAATAGCTTTCAATTCACCATGACTCCGACTCCACCTACTTGTACAACAATACCAGAACTAATATTGCTCTAGCTTAAAAACTCTTAATAACATTAATAGTTAGTAAAATTAGTCATAAACTGTGATATGCCTACTGTTGTCTTCAGTATATTTTTTTGTTCTTAAAAGGGAAAAAAGTGTCATACTTTCAATAATTTCTCATAGAACATTGTATAATTCTTAGATTAAATGTGTTCAAAGAACTTTACTTATAGTATGTATCTAAAATGTTAGCTGATGAAAATAGCAGAAGCCCAATAAATAATGATTTTATTATAATACAATAAACCTGGGTAGCAAAGGTAATTATAATTAAATGAGCCTGGTACACCCTAAGATTAATTAAACCTCTGTATGATTAGAATTCTTGTTTTGGGTTTCTTGTTAAAATAAAACTAGGAAAGTTCAAAAAGATTACTCTTTGGTTTGGGTTTATATGAGGTGTGTTTACAGAAGTACTTTTTAGATTTATAAATGGCTACATCTGCAGAGATAAATGTGTCTTAATTACAGGTTTCTGTAGGGTGAACATCTGTGCCCTTTCCTGTAACTATGTAGATACTTTGATGGTTATCTCAGAAACTGATGTGGTTAAATTTGTATTCTTTTCTTACTTGCTAATTCACTTTATTTAGTATAAATCAAATATACTTAAAGGTTTATCTGTATCACTTTGCCGTACCATTTTACACTTAACACAATTTTGTTTTCTATAATTAGTTGATAAGATACGATTAGAATCATATCAGTGCTTTTTAATTGGGATTTTGAATTGGTTAGAATTAAATCTACAATCTTCTCTATTTATCTTTTCTTTAGTAAAATGATCATTCTTTCAGGTAGACAGCAGAGTTCCAATACTTTCTCTCATTCTGATCATCACTTTGGCTGTAAAAGACCATGCTGCCCAGTAAAGTATAATTCCAATTTCTGAAAAAGAAAGTTATTTTATTTTACATGTCATTATAAAAATGATTCCATATGGATGAAAGAATATTGGGAAAAGGTTTAGTTATAACACTGGTTCTCTCTAAGTTAGCAAGTACGTGAGCTTGGTATATGGTAGAGCGGGCTGGGAATGAGCCAGCAAGAAATGCTTTTGATAGAAAGACTGGTCTTTGGTAATTGTTGACAGAAAAGCCTAAAAATTGTGTATTTTTAATCCTCTGGGTATAACATTTTATTTGTCAAAAGTATTGAAAATTAACTTTCCCCAGATAGCAGTGGAAGTACAATCCTTTGAAAAGAATTCTTGTCACATATTGGGTCAGAGCCACTCTAGTGAAAAGTGTAGCAAAGAACAAATTTGAAATTTCTACTCAGTAGCCAACATCGACTGGGTCAAAGAGGCCTTGACATTTCCTCAGCTTTATGAATATGTAGTCAGGCCTCCTCATGACTCTAGACTCCCAGCCTCCTTTGTCTTGTAGCATTTACTTTAGAAAACGAGCCGTGGTAAATCCTTTCTGTACCCCTTTGAGACATAAATCTTCCACAACCCAGGTACATCTTTTCCTTAGGACCTGAGGCCATCTCTTTTGAAATGTAATCATCAAGAAAAATAGGGCTTCTAACTCTCAGTCCCTGTGGGAGGGTGAGGACTTAACTTGACCTAAAATAGCAAACACAAATGACTTAATCCAACCACCCTCTACAATCCTCGTGCTTTTCTACCTGAGCAGCCCCCTTCTGTTTCAGCAGAGTGAGTGCTGCTTTCTCTCCTCTTGCAGTCGCCTTCACTAAAGTCTTCCTTGCTATTTTTAACAGGTCTGGTACAATTTTCCTTTTACAACTGTCACTGGTTTTTGAGTTTATGAATTAGACTCATATTATTCAATCATAACTTCTGGGAATGGGTTAATTCACAAAATAGTATTTGGTACAGCTTTTAGGAAGTTATAGAAGTGTTAATGAAACAGACTTAATTGATTGTAACTTAATGAGCTTTGGAGAGAAAATCATAAATGCTCTCTTTTAATTATAAGACTGTCATTCCTGATGATAAAGGATGATTTTTAAAAAGTAATATTATGAGTTTAAAAATAGTGCAAAGGTTGTAAAACTTTCTCTATATTTAAGAACTTTTTATACAAATCACATTTTTTCAAAATTTTCCATCATTAATTTTAAAGAAGCATCTTCTAAGAATAGTGCTGATCAACTGAAGAAATTTTAGGTAGTTAGTTCAGTGACTTTTCAGGTAACTTGTCATTATAACATGATGTTAATATTTTATTGAATGTTTAGGGATCACACAGTCTTATTATTTAAACATCCATACAATTTATTAAAATGTCTACTTGATTTTCTGTACACTCTATATAGAAAAAAAAAGGTTTCCTATATTTCAAAGGAGATATTTTGTTTCAATTAATTAAAGACTTGCCCTTTCTGGGAGTTTGAGTACTGAGAATGTTTTTATGGCAAAATATAAGTATGTTCAAAATTATGTATCTTTCACACTAACTTGACTACAATTAAACTTTAAAAAATATTTTTGCTTTGATGGTTTGATACTGCTGAAGTAAGTGAATACACAACTTTAAGCATCTAATAGATTAAAGTAGCTCTTAAATTAATTTTAAATTGAGAAAATTTTCAGTTTTCAGGCTAATCTACTGAAAGATAATAAATAATAAAATAATAGGATGCTAATCACCAAATAAAATACTACTTTCCATTAATAAACAAAAGCCTACTTATTTCCAATTTTCCCTCAAAGACAGATATATTTCAGAAACTAACCTATTTGCTTTCTCAATGATCTCCTCAATGCACACACACACAAAAAAGGTGCAAAGAGTTTGCCTTAAATAATATGTGATTTCAGGCTCAAATGCCAGCCATGTTTGAATACATCTCTCTGTTGTCTCATTGCTTGGTAAATACAAAACTTTCATTCCTTGTAAGAACCTGAAGAAGCTGTGTCTGTCCCACTTAACAATACTTATGTTAATTTACTTGTTGACTCATCCCCTCAAGACAAACGTATTGATTGCTAATTGTGTGCGCAGTACTGTGGTATTCCCTAGAGAAGACACAAAGATGAAAACACGCACACACACAGACACAAGCTGCCTTAAAGTTGTAGTTTGGAAGCTAAAGTCTGCGTGCATTTCAAGGTACACAAATAACTACTGTGTAACATAGAAAGTGATAAATGCCATGGGGGAACACTCAATAAAGTACCATCGGCTAATTGGACAGGTTGTATAAAATCATGAAATCAGGCGTGGTTTCAGAATTTCAGGTGAGGTTTCAAGGACATAAAAGATTTGGATGGGAGAGAGAAAAAGTATGTTGAAAAACATTCCAGATCAGGAACAGCATATAAACAAGCAAGAAGGTCAGAAGATAAAAGTGTAGGAAATATGTCTGTAAGTAATTCAAACTGGCTAGAATCCAGACTTGGTAAAGAGAAACAGTAAAAGCTAGAATTAAAAAGAGGTTAAAATCATAGCAAATCTTGATCACCAGACCAAGCAGTTATGATTTTATATAGTAGCCAGTGATGAGGAGGAATTTAAATCAAGCAAAGTAGCAATAGCATCAGAATCATAAAAATATTATCTGGCAGGAATTTAAAAGCCTATTGAAGGGAGGAAATGACCACTGGCAAGACAAGTGCCTAAGCACATAATTATAATGATCTGGGTATGAGGTAATTTGGTCTGCAAGCATGTTAGCATGAGGTCATTTTGAAGAGGAAGACTATCTAAAACATGCTCAGTGATGGGATGTGATGAGTAACAGACGGCCCTGGACGACTCTCATTTAGAGAGTTCCTGGGATGTCTTGTATTATTTATGGCTGGCACAATTGCTGTATGAGAGAGTACCCCCAAAACCAGAATTATCTTCTCGAGGGTGGGCCCCGTGTAGTACAGGCTTCCCCCTCTAGGTGACTGTTCTAGGAACCCATCTGCATCAGTGCATAAGCTGGTGTTGTGAGAGGCTGTGATCAGCTTCATGGAATTTTTTTTCAAGACTCTTTCAACTCGCTTGTGCATTTCACGATGGATGATTTTACGAGCGCACCTACCCACACTGTGCTGAGTGTCCAGTAGTTT